GGCCTTCAGTAGGATCAGTCGGAGCTATCAGAGTCCGAGCCATCTACTCCGTAGAGCTGAGCCAGGGTCCTGAAACGAGGTCCCCACTCATGCAAGAAGTTGTAGTCCAGATTGGACCCACTGGAGGATGAGTCCAAAGAGCTGAGGGAACCGGACAGGGATTCAGATCCCTCGCAGCCGTAGATGTGTAAAGTATCGTAGGGAATCCCATCACGGTCATGGTCGGCCTCATCCTTCTTCACCTCGATCATCATGGCCATGTCACCCTTACAAGCAGAGGGTTTCTTCACCACGGCGTACAGCGAAGGCCCCGTGCTGGGCCGAAAGCTGCTGTCGTGACAAGCAGAGGACAGGATGGAGACGTCATAACCGTTTGTGTCCATTTCTCCACCGCCTTCCTCGTCATAACTCACAAGCTGCTCGTGGATCTCGCCAGAAGACTTGGTAACCAAAATTTCCTTCTGATAGCGCCTCCGCAACACAATGAGGATGACGATGACTAAGAAGATGAAAGAAATAGACACAATATCAAAATAGCTTTTCTTTCTTTCTTTCTTTCTTTCTTTAACATCTTCCTGGTTTATTTCTGTAATGTAAACTCATTATAAATTTTGATTGACAACACAAGTTTCAAACACCGTTCGTTCATCTAGAAATAAACAAATGAACGAAATAAAACCAGTGGAAAATAAAGAAAGGTGGTGTTGAAAAGGAAGTCTCTTATTAGCACAGGGGTCTGTGAACTTCAGAATACTTCAACACTTTTCGCCTGTCTGATGGTGTGACTGCAGATCAGTGGCTTGTCTTAATTGCCATCACTCTTGTCTTGTTTCTCACATCTAGAAATGCAAGCACAAACCTCTACTTTGGAAAAGGTGTAGAGACGCAAGCAAAATGTCCTCTCACACTTTCAGGGAAAAAAGGTAGTCTGTCACTAAGGTGATACCTTTTTACATTTTACTAATAAGTACTTACAATAATAATAATACACTTTAAGGTACTAATATGTGCCCAAAAGTGGTAAATAAGACAAAAATATGTACTGGGTACTGCCCCAGTGACAGATTTTGGATCTTTTTCCCTCATTATATATAGTACACTAACTAACAATGACAATGAAAATATGGAGCTAAGCGACTCTCTTACATGCTCTTATTTACAGTGTTCAGTACCTGGGTTATTTATACAACCAGACCACTTAAAGGATCCTAGGATGGTGAATAAAATATATAGAGTCTCCACTTGGGAAATTACTGAGAAAAGCCTTTCCTCAAAGAAAGGATTTAAAATGTTCACATGTATCATTAATATAACACGCTTCTGTCAGGTCATGAAACCTGCATAATCTGTTTTGCTGGGCTTGATTAAATGAGGCGTTTGCTTTTTAAAAATTTCTTAAAAAAAGGAAAACACTGAGGGCTGAGTCGTTGACCATGCATGGATATCTTTGTAATAGAAAGAAGAAAAACAAGTGAGATAAGAGATGAGTGTAAATGTACCCAGGATGGTGACGATGCAGAGAAGAATGGCTAAGAGGGCACTGACGCTCATTCCGGTCCGGGTGTAGGCCATACAGTACTCCACCCGTCTACCTGTCTGACACGTGCACACTTTAATCTGGAGGAGGTTAATGCTCTTCTGTTCTGGTGTCCCTCCATCAGTGATTTCGATTTCCAGCACATGTTCCACTGAGTGCTCTGTACTGAAACCGCCTTGCTTCAGCTCAATGCGCGCAGTGTTATCTACAACAAATGTTAATAATTGAAGAGATGCAGTCATTAATTTTGCTCTTATTCAGGGGAAATGACTGACTGTGTATGCCACAGGTGCAAGCTAACAATTTTCATCAGCAGTGCTATTGTTGTCATTGGACTTTGTTTTCTGTTGATGCTTGGAGGGAAATGTTGCTGAGGTTCTTGTGACAATTCAATGCAACCAGGCCAAAGAATATCCCATTTCACACAATAGTAGGAAGAGTAAATCTTCACTTTGACATTCGTGTGGCCTAAATTGAAATGTTCATCTAGCACATTTTGAGGAAAGTCAGTTGCAATTGTTAAAAGCAACATTCTGTTGTCACTTGAATACATGGCTAGAAATTAAATAAATGTAATCATTTTCTAGATTACATTTATGAATTAAAACATGTTTGGGATTTTTTTTATGTGTTTTTGAAAGTGCTCACCAAGGCTGCATTTATATATCAAAAATACAATAAAAACAGTAACATTGTGAAATTACTATTAGAATTACAACTAAAATAACGGTTTTCCATTTTAATAGATATTAAAATGTAAGTTATTCCTGTGATGGCAAAGCTGGATTTTCAGTCTTCTGTGTCACATGATCCCTCTGAAATCTTTTTAATAAGCTTATATGTCATTTTTATTAAAAAGAGAGAGAAAAAAAAGCCCAAGACATTTCTTTTCATTCCAGTCAGTGCACCTTAACAAACTACTTTGCTTTCCTGTTTCTGCCAGTTAGTAAACCAGTTAGTAAAATAGTAAACCATCATATTAGTTCATTATACAGCTGTGAGGAAAGAAACCACAGTGTTCTGAAAATGTTCCTCAGTCTGGCACATTTAGAACATGGAGTGTCAGATCATAGATTAATTGTGCATGGCTGCTGCTTTTAGAAAGCTTGTACCTAATGCATTTTACAGTATTTTGGTGGGTTTCGTCCTATTCCTTTTATGCCTGATTACTCTAGGAATAAGCAGCAGTTAGTTTGCTTTGGAGTAGACAGAGAACTAAGGATAAAGCAGTCTAAATATCATTCATAATAAAAATTGCATACCTGCGCTGAAACTAGATCTTTTAAATTCAACTTTACAAACATTATCCTAATGGTAGAGTGGCTGATTAAAGTTGATTAGAACCACTCTGTTGATCAAATGTAGTCAACATGAATTAACTCACCTCCGTTATCATAAAGTGAAAAGTTCAAGTTCCTTTTTGCCAGAGTGAAACGGAACCTGCCTGAATTTTCATCTTTGTCATAGGCACCGACAGTCCCAATGATCTGCAAGAGGGTGATAAATGAAGGATTATGGAAATATATAGCTAAAGGAAAATCATTATAAATGTGTTCATGTGAAATGTATTCAAGCGACTCCTTACTGTTCCAGGTTTATCACTCTCACAAACATACACGTAGCTCCGGTTAGTTAGTTCTGGTGCGTTGTCATTAATGTCAAGAACCTTCAGATTAACCAGCGCATAGGACTTTAGACCTGAGGATTCAGAGATAAACCCCCCCCCACAAATTTACTTATGATCTTGATCATAATAATTATGATAATAATGATGATCATACTACCACAAATTTACTAATGATCTTGATCATAATAATTATGATAATAATGATGATCATACTAATGACGATGATGCTTATTATATTTAATTTTGTCAAACCTACTACTACTAAAAAAGATTTGTCTGTGAATATTGCTGTTACTTGGCTGGGGTTATTTGGTAAATATGTAAAGATGTTTTTGCTACAAACTTTTGCTACAACATTAATTTCTAATTAAATCGAAGTACTCTTGCAAATAAACATAATTAGCACAGCAAAACAAAACAGTTCCCAAAAGTCACATTCTGTTGGATTTGTTGAACCAAATCTTTGATTAACAGATAATTTATCCAGAGCTAATTCAGTGAGCTTGTGATCCCTCCAGAATATAAATAAGACTGAAATCACAAAATCACATATTTTGGAAACACATATACTAAAGGTTTAGACACACTTAGCAGAATTAATGATCCTCATGGTGGTAAATGCATTTTTATTTAAAAGCTTATGTTAAAATTCTTAATTTTTTTTTATTACAAATATAAATTAATAGTGATTAATATGAATATAAAACACTGCTTATTCCCTGAAAAATAATTCACATTCACATAGTTTACATGTGTTTGTTTTATCTCACAGTTTTTAAAACCTCAGTATTTTTGTAAAATGTGGAAAAAATGAAGGTGTGTCCAAACGTTTGACTGGTAGTGTAAATGGTTAAGCTGTGAAAGCTTGTTTATATCTTACCATTTGTGACATTCTCCTGTGCTGTAACCTGGAAAGTGTAGGATGATTTGTCCTCTCTGTCCAGTTGCTTCTTTAAGGACAGATATCCTTGTACAGGATCCACTGCTACAGGACAGTTTGAGTCTTCAATAGAGTACCTAGAGTGATCAAATGTCAACATTAGATGAAACCATTTTGATCTGTTTACACTATAACCTTTATGACAGTACAGCAAAACACAGAAGGCATAATTTCTTTTGATGAATAAAAATACATCTCCGTATATACCGTATTTTGTAACCGTTTTTATCTGGATCCTTTGCTGAAACAGCTCCAATAATTGGATTCTGGAACGGGCCCTCGTAGAAGCTGAACTTGTATTCAGTTTGGTTGAAAACAGGTGGTTCGTCAACATCAATTACATTGATGAAAACTTGGGCTCTCGTCTGCAGTTTGGGTCCTTGGTTATCTGGCGATTTAGACACTGTGCGCTCTAACACGTTTACACTAAACTTGTGCATCTTCTGCGTTTCATAGTCGAGAGGCTGTGAGTGATTAGGGAAAAAAAAAATTAGCAAAACAATAATTCTAAAGCTAAGAGAAAAAATGTCAACTATAATTTAAATCATTAAAAGCATTGCTCAGTCTTAAAAATTCAAGTTGTCATGAAGCTTGTTTAGTAGTGAAATGCTTACCACTTTGAGGCTAAGAATTCCATCTTTCACATTACTTAGTTTAATGCCAAACACTTCATCAAATTTATGTTGTATTGTAAAAGATGGATCTTTGTTTTGTATCTCGTCTTTGTCCTCCACTTTTAATTTGCCAATTTCATATCCAGGTTTGCTGTCTTCTTTTACATTAAATTGGTATTCTCCTAAGGAGAAAAAGACTTTCTGTTGACACTGATTTGAAAAATAGTCTAGTCTAGCATGCAGTGTGTCTTTGCAAAATTTAGTTACAGCTTTTACAGTTAACTTACCTGTTTTGAAGGTGGCAATGTTGTCATTTACATCATTAATGTTGATAGTCACAATAGTTGTAGCAGAATTCCCAGTATTACTAACGTCTGGCATGTCTTTGGCTTGTATAGCAATTAGATACTGACTCCGTTTCTCTCGGTCAAGACTGCTTGTCAATGTTCTGATTTCACCTAAAGACAAAACAAACAAAGACATTCATAAAGTTACACAATATTTCCATGTCAAATAAATGCTGCTGAACATTCTTGGTTTTGAGTTTTCTATTAATCTAAGAATACTGGAAAACTGTATCATGGTTTCCACTAAAATATTAAGCAGCACAATTGTTTTCAACGCTGGTAATAATAAGAAAATAAATTGTTGAGCATCAAATCAGGATATTAAAATGATTGCTGAAGGATCATGTGACACTGAAGACTAAAGTATGGCTGCTGAAAATTCAGCTAAAACAGAAAAAAGTTACGTTAAATTGTAAGAATATTTGCTTATTTGTTGGGATGGATAGATAGATAGATAGATAGATAGATAGATAGATAGATAGATAACTTTTATGACCCCAATAATTTCTAATTGCAAACCTTTATTGTTGATGGCGAAGAGATCTGTCCCATTCAGAAGTTTGTACCCTATCATTCCATTTTGAGTGGTGGGATCATCAGCATCAGTTGCTTTTACTGTCATTACTATAGATCCTAGAAAAATAATGTGTCCAAATATTTCAGATTAAAATTATATAATGTTTTGCTGGCTGTTTTACAGTACTGCAACAAAATCCACATTTCATAAATCCATCAAGGTGTACTATATAATAGTTATTCAGTCCTACTTGTAAAGCTGTCCACACATGGACATAATGGCCACCCTGTTACCTGCTTTAGAAGATTCACTGATGGATCCAGAGACGTCAGGTGGAAACACAGGGCTATTGTCATTAATATCCATGACCACTATTATAAATGTATCATCGTGGTCAATCTGTTTTGTGGTTGTAATGTTGATGAGTGAAGCTGACAGATTGTAGACATTTTTCTTCTCCCGGTCCAACTTTGCATTGACAATGATATCCCCATTGTCATTTACAGTAAAAATGTCATTAGCACCTTCTCCTGAGAGAATATATCTTGCAGATGCATTGAAAAATGTATTCTCTAGCTAAAAGGAGAAAGGAATGGGGGGGGGGGGGGGGGGGGGGAGTTGAGAAATAAAAGCAAGCATTACAACAAACATTACAATAATCCAAAGATTGTGTTCATTATTTCTAAATTGACATAGTAATTCCTCATATGACTCTACTTGGAAGTACTTGAGTTTACTTTAAGCAGTATATTCAAAGTAGCACTATATACATACTTTCATCAAATGTATCATTGTTTAGACCCTTTACCTTTCCAATTTTTTCAGGTGGGTTTTTTGGAGGCATTTCCTCATTCACATAAAGTTTATCCCATTTCCAGGCTCTCTTATGTCTTTGAAGCACTCTGCTCGGCATGGATGGCGTTTTCAGAGCTTGGTGGACATCAGCTCCCATGCTGAGGGTACATAAAATGACCAGAACACCTGCCCAGAAGCCAGGCTCAGCCATCTGCCTGCGGGCAGTCTGTTTCATCATCTGTAAACCATGTGAATGGAACAAAAAAACAAAAAATATATACATTAATTCATGCCTTTCAAGATGGTTTCTTCAGCCTCACAGACCTCAGTATGCTTAATGTTTTAATGTTGGAAAGAAAGAAAGAAAGAAAGTCCATTGTTATCTCTATCTTTGAAATCCCTTCATTAAATTGTCTGTCTCATTTGGGTTCCTCCTGTGGCACAAACTTTCAACTGTATTCTTCTGAACGATGGGAAACAGCACACTCTAACTGTGTGACACTGTTAAAGCCTACTAATATATTCCCTAGCCTACTAAATTCCCATCCCAGATAACATGCTTTAGCTTGATGGACCATTCTTATGTTAGACTCATTTAGATGATGATATTAAGATGAGGTGGATTATGCTTCTTAAGTGTTCCCAAATTGCTAAATCTTTGCGATAGGGCCTCATAAAGTCTTCCACTCAAAATTATTACTTTCACATAAGCTATAAAACAATGGATTCAGAAATGTATGGGCAGCACATAAGATACTATGCTAGCTATGCTTTGAGCTCATTTCTACTCTGTTGTTCTTGTTTATTCATGCCTGTTTTATTCTTCATTTTGTTTTCTCCAGTCAGGTAAGGGCAAAAGGGAAATGTTGCTCATTATCCACTCTTTGGTAAGACTTGAAAGAGTAATTCTACAAATTCTCTCTTACAAAAGAATTAAATATAAATAAATAAATAAATAAATAAATACATTCAAGAGGGCACAGTCATATAATGACTTTAAATATTCTTTAATCTTATGACAAATAATATTTTCCATAAATGGACTGACGTTACAAAATGCTTGTGGAAAATAATGTACAATGCATTTGTCTAATATTCTGGCAAGGTTCTCTTGAATCTATGAAAAAAACAAACAAACCAAAAAAAACACCTTCTTCAAGTAATGTTAACATAACTTTTATTCAGTTATTTGGTCTTTATGTTCTCAAAACATTTGCACAAAAACTTTATTACTTCTGATGTTTTAGCTGGTCGTTCATCTATCAGATTTTAAAAGTTATTGCTTGTTTCAGACTGTTCAGAAATCATTTAAAGTAATAAAAGTAACATTCCCACGTCCCATAATATTGATACATCTTTTTTTTTTTTGCTGGGTAAGTACTAACTGAATGTTTTGTTGCAAATGTATATGGCAAATGTCCCAGTACACTACTTTAATTGGACAAGCAGTGTTCCATGAGTGCTGATTTTTGATGTAACAGCACCACCTCACCTGTCTGTGTTTGCTTTACTAAATTCCAATTCTTGATTCTGCTTGGCCTCTTTTTGTTTTTGATGCAAACTACCCATATCACATTTGAATTGCTGGTTACTAAATATTTACTTCATGATAATTCAGTCAGCAACACTGATCATGTTATATTGGAAAATTAAAAATAAGTAATTTTAATTCTAAAGTCTCCTTTCCTCTCTCTTTTGTCCTTTCTATTATATTTTTATAGATAAAATGAGAGCAGATGATTTCCATTCAAACAAGTCTAATGTAAACCATCACATATTTCTCTTCAATTTCCCACCCACCACTCTCAGCATAAAACATGTTTTTTTAATTCAGTGCAGTGCTATCAGCTTTGTACTCATTGGAATCTCAGCACATTGACACTGAAGCGTGTTCAATTCAAATTGTTTTCAGTATTTGACATTATTGAAAAGCACACCATTTCCACAGCAATTGTTGTTTAAACCAGTCATTTGAAAGGCTTTGCGTGTATGTGTGTATGTCTGTGTGTGGGCTTCAGATTAAAATAGGTTTAATCACGGAGCAGCTTCCAGCAATCTGCAGTCTGCCTACTCGCTCCTCTAGGAAATTCAGCCTGACATACATCAACTCTCCCCTCCTTTCTATCACACATCTTCAGTGTCACAAGTTCCAGCAACCTGTTAAAGGTGTCACTGTCTGAAGTGTGTGTACTGCACCTGTCCTCATCTCTGACTCATCTGGTACACCTCTCTTCATTTAGATTTTAAGTGTATGTGTCGCATAATGTGAAGCTCACGGCTAGCATGTTTTATGTTATTTATAGCCTGAACTGTGATGTTTTACATGACCTTTAATAATTAACAGCACCAACTTTCATTCTTTGTGTGATGAGATAGCACTGATTTCTGCATCTCCTAAAACATTATTCCTACAGTGGCATATGGTATGATACATTAAGAATAACCTGTAACTGCTGTGCTATTTCAAGAAAAAAGCAGGACAGATGGTGCATGGATTTATAATAGTTTATTTGTTCCTAAGTAAAATGTTGCATCCAGATAAGTTCAAAGTCTTCCCATGGGTAATCAGTGTTCCTTGGGAATTTCCTTCCTATTAGTCCAGGAAGCATCATTCAAATCAGACTTTCAAGTTTTTTGGTGAGAAATATTACAATACACATTAAAATGGAATAAAACCAAATAGAACATACACAGATACAGTACATATTATACAGATGTACAAAAATATCTAAATATTTCAACTGAACTTCATAGACTCAACTTAAAAAAAGACAAATATACTAAAAAGACAAATATATATATATATATACATACATATATATGACAAACATAAAAAAAAATCACCTACCAGAGTTTTGGTCACTTCAACGGTCTTCCTCGATTCGAAAATCCCTTCAGTAAATGAGTCGTATTATATCCTCCTCAGTCTCAGGTCAGTGCTGTCTGTTTCCAGCTGCATGTGAACCTGTCTGAGCTCCCACAGAGCTGCTCACTGGACAATCAGGCCACTCCAGTGGCAAAAGTGATCAGCCCAGCCCAGCAGTTCCTCTGGCCGCTTCCTGTTATTGTCCCTGCCTCTTCAGTCCAGTTCCAAACCCCTCTCTGGAAAATCAGATAAGATTCGCAGCCCCCTGACCACCAGTAGGAGAGGCAAGCGGAGCATTACACCGTTGAATGAGAGAGAGACAGAGAGAGAGAGTGAAAGAGACGGGGAGCGATTGCGACTGGGAGAGAGAGATAGAGGGGGCCGGAGGTGGGAGATCATTAAGTTCCAGCTTGCTCCCTTAAAGAGGAGAGGAAAGCAAAAGTGATTTATTATTCAAAGCTATAAAATAAAGAGCACGATAAACAGGTTAATGGAGTTAAAGTAATCCCGAAAGATTTTCTTCAGAGTGGTATTACATTTTACAGAGGCTGTGACTGACCTATCTGCCTCTGTGATCTTGTCTAAACTAGTAAGTGAGAAAGGGGCGGGTGGAGGGGTCTAGTCGTGCGTTCAGCGGAGGGTTGAGTTTAGGGACTGGGACTTGCGGCGGAACTATGTATCTGTCAAAAGTGCTTAGTGCTGTGCCCCATTGATCTAAGTGGAGAAAGTCAGTTTAGTAGGATTAGTTGCACGGAATGTCCGAGCCGTTTTGACAGGGGACCTAAGATAAATACCCCTGGGTGCTTAGACAGAGAGGCAATTGCTGAAGTGCAGCCCTGCTTGACATTTTCTTTTGTTTGTCTGCTCCTTGGCTTTTGTGAGGATATTCTTATTTCTTTGAATATGTCTACTGGCCTTCACTTTGAAAGATGTGGCTGACAGACTCCCACGACAGGCCTCTGGTAAAAAAAAATAAAATAAAAAATTGGTCTGACCTTTGATCCTATTTTAGCCCTTGCTCAGAACGCCCTGCAGAACTTTTGTTCAAATTTGGTTGACTTTAAATCTGCTTCCTCTCCTTGAAGAGTATTACTTGACCTTATTTTTTAAATGCAACAAACTAACACATGAAAAAAAAAAATCTTATTGCGATAAGTGGAAACCGACTGGTGTCCTTCAGCTAACTTGATTTAAGAACATTTTACACACCTCATTCTACCTTTCCAATTCAGATAGTACTTAGGAATGTAAGATGTATATAATTATACAGTATAAAAGGTTAGATAAATGTTTGGAGACTGAGGCAAGAATTTTATGCTTAGTGGATCAAGGTCAACTCTCTCCATATACCTTTCTTTCAAACTTGAAACTATTTTTTTACAGTATTTTTGTCACTGTAGACAGAGTGCTACTGTACAGTACATATGGCTCATATGTCAGGTGTATTTCTCAATAAGAAATAAAACCTTAAGTTACTGTAAATGGAGCAATCATTTCATGAGTTTCATTATCCATTGAAAATAATAATACTGGTAATAATTAGCCCAGTGATGGATGCCAGGATGCACCAGCACCCCCTTAAACCCTACACAGGAAAAGCTGATGTGGAAAAATAACAGATAAGTATAACACACACACACACACACACACACACACACACACACACACACACACACACACACACACACACACACAGTGAGTGTGTTGTGACTTCAATGAACATTTTAAAACATACTGCACCTTCTATAATATACCTTACAAAAATATAATTATTAAAGTAAATTCTTCAGATGTTTCTAAATAATTATATAAAATAGTATTTTTATAATAATGTTATTTAATTTAATTATATAAGAATTTAATCATATTTTCACTGATTTAAAATGTCTGTTATTATTATTATTATTATTATTATATTTTACTATTTAATTTTATTTATAATTATTTATTAGTGCTTATTGTATTCACTCTTTTTTAATGTTTAATTTCTTAGAAGAAATATTTAAATATATATATTTTTAAATATGTGTTTGCTAAGGCATACAATGTATGTTGACACATTCTTATGTTTTTAATTTCATTAGTAATGTGTTTTTATTTATTTGGTGGTAAAGCACACATGGATAACCTGGGTTGTAATTAATGGTGCTATACAAATAAAATTGTCATTGCCATTGCCATTAAATGACTTCCTGAGGCAATGACAAATCTCTTGTATCTTTGGGCAGACATATCATTTTGACTTAAATGGGCAAACTTACTCAAAAACGGCTTCTATGGATTCCTCATTTCAGAAGTTAGTATCGATGTAGTTTATATTCCTCATCGTCATCCGAGACCTTTCCTTATGCCTCCTACAGGCACGACCCTGGTGTTTAACCCTGCCACTGTCCAGCAGACATTATCTGGACCATCACCCACCAGACCGCATGAGGCAGTGGATGCCTTGTGAAGTGTGTGCTTTAAAAATAGCAGGGTTCTTGTCTTCTCTCATTTGCCCTGGGTGAGCAGCCAAGCGCATGGAGGCCCTTGGAGAAAGCTGATGTACGGCATGTTTGAGGCGTTTGGACTGATCTTAACGAGACATTAATGTTCACTTAACGTGATCCTAAATCCACCCTGGGGCATAGTCTGGATGGAATAACGTGTTTGAATCGGCCTCCTTCCACTTTAGTCTTACTGAAAATGGCTCCTTTAACCCTTTGATGCACAAGCTATGCAAACCCCTTCTAATGCACAACATGGGTCTAAAATGACCCGTATTAATTTCCTATGTTATTTCATGCATGGCTGGGCATTTACTAGTTTCATCTTTTGAAATCAGTTTATTTCAGCATTTAATATAACCTGATCTATAAAATTTATATTCTAAATATATTGTTTTCGATTAACATCAGTTATTATTTTAATTTTTCTTAGGTCTTGTGTTATTATGTCAAGTTTACACATATGGGTCAAAAAGGACCCATCTATGCAAGCGTGATAAAACAAAAGAATAAAGACAACATTTTGTTAAAATAATCATTTTAGCAGTTATTTAGGTCAACACATTTAACACTTTGTCCCTGATCTATGAAATTTATATTCTAAATATATTGTTTTCAATGAACATCAGTTATTATTTTAATTTTTCTTAGGTATTGTGTTATTATGTCAAGTTTACACATATGGGTCAAAAAGGACCCATCTATGCAAGCGTGATAAAACAAAAGAATAAAGACAACATTTTGTTAAAATAATCATTTTAGCAGTTATTTAGGTCAACACATTTAACACTTTGTCACACATAACATACACATATCACTGATAACCGATAACACTGAAATTGAACAGTACTGTATCTGTAGTGCAACTGTAGTGTATGTGACCGAATAAAAGAATATAAAACTGACTAAATTAAATCACACAGATACAGCAACATCTCAAATTGCCATTTTAGTGCTTACAAGCCTCACAAATGACAACTTCATATTTGTGCTTCTTGCACACAGACCGACCCGAGCGCAGCCTTTGAACATCCAGACCAAGATCATGAGCTATATTTCCAATCAGCGACCCTTTCTTAATTGACAACTTCATATTTGTGCTTCTTGCACACAGACCTGTTGCTCTGGGAACACCAGCTGCTGATTTGTCCTCCCTTGGCCAGGTGGTGGCTGCATTTTGTTTTTTTTATCCCACATCTTCCCATTGTTTCTGAAATATGGTTTTAAAGGTTGGGCCTCCAAGCACCTCTTCATATGTTGCACGACAACATCAGCTCTTTGACCAGCTTCTTGATGAATAGCTGTCATGCATTGGTCACACCAGCCATGTAATCAGGGTGTTGCTCAGTGAAGTTGATGTTGGCCAGGGGTGGCCAACGTTTGTCCTGGAGAGCCACAGTCCTGCAGAGTTTTGCTCCAACCTTGATAAAAACTCACCCTCCTGTAGCTTTCTAGTAACCCTTAGACCTTGATTAGCTTGTTCAGGGGTGTTTGATTAGGGTTGGGGATGAAATCCGCAGGACTGTGGCTCTCCAGGAATGACATTGACTGCCCCTGGTGTAGGCATTGAGGGTCCAAAACCATGGGCCCATATAGAGGCAGTTGGCGGGCACGCCAGTTGTTTATAAAGTAAGAAAGGACAAATAAACATAATGATTTATGTAAGTCAAAAACAAGATATTTAAAGCATATCTGGAAAAAGAAATAAGAAACATTTCTTTCAGAGATTGAGAAAAGAAACACTTGAATATGGGTCATTTTAGACCCATGTTGTGCATTAGAAGGGTAGTGATACAAAAACGATTTGTATTCAAAAAGTAAAAATGAAAATAAAGATTTGTGATTATCAAAAACAAGTTAATTGAGGAATTCCTGGAATACTGAATTATTGTGATTCCTGGAATACTGGATTCCTGGAATACTGAATTATTCTGAAATATGTGATTAAATAATGATATCAAACATTTATCCTGTCTCTTTTTTGCAACCCATTTATTGGAGCTGAATACCATGAACAAAAATCAACAGGCTACATAAAAACTGAACTCTTTAAGAGCTGTTTGTGTGCAAAATAGAACTGCATGATTCTGGATAAATTTCGCATTTTTTTTCCTTTTTTATTCCCCCAATGGAAGTTGTGGTTCTCTCATGATTCTGAAGAAAAAACATTAGACAACTAAACTAAATCACATGTAATGTATGAATTAATGATTAAATGACTCACTCAAGATATACTTGTTCCATTACTGGATGAATCCGCGTTCTTGAACGAATCTCTTGTGATTCAAAGACAAATACATTTTAACAGCCCCTTTTCGCCACCTACTGGCGTACCAATGCAATCGATCATCTTCATTTGAAGCGTCAAATTATTTTCAAAAGGTGATTTATTCTATTTTAATCGCTACCATACACATCGGACACACAGTTTATATCTGAACTATAAACTTTTATCCAAGTACTTCTGTGATTTGAATGTTTGTAACAGAAATAATAATACTGTGTGGCTGAAAAGACTGTGAAGCTGTTTCATTCATGACAGATGACAGCTGCTCTCTTTAGGTCAATGGCAGCGCAAACACAAATTTAAATGGTCAAATCACACTGATGTGATCGTATACTGCACGAACGAACCAAGTGATCACAACATTGATTGCACACGTCAAAGTTTGAAGAATGAAACAGACAAATCATTGTAATTTAGGAACAGAATCACATTGGTGTTTGAATCGTGTTTGCAATCTTTAACGATCTGTTAAATTAAAGTGCTTTGTCATGTTGGTGGTGACA